AGAAATAGAAAGAATTGTAAGAAAATATTATGAATTAAACAACCTGGGTGAAATGGAAAAATTTATAGAAATATACAATTTTTCAAAATTCAATCAGGAAAATTAAGAAAATTTAAACAGACCAATTACAACTAATAAAAATAGAATCATTAATAAAAAAAAAATCTCCTGCCTGGTCGGTGTGGCTCAGTGGATTGAATGTTGTCCCATGGACTGAGAGGCCCCATTTGATTCCTGGTCCAGGCACATGCCTGGATCATGGGCTCAATCCTCAGATGGAGGTATGCAGGAGGCAGCCAATTAATGTTTCTCTCTCACATTGATGCTTCTATCTCTCCCTCCCTTCTATTCTCTCTCTAAAAAATAAAAATAAAACATATTATTTTAAAATCTCCCAACAAACAATGATCCTGGACCAAAAGTCTTCACAGGAGAATTTTACCAAACATTCAAAGAAGAACTAACACCTATCCTCCTCAGACTATTCCATAAAAATTCAAAAACAGGGAAGACTTTTAAGCTCATTTTAAGAGGCCAGCATTATCCTAATTCTAAAACCAGATCAAGATATGACAACAAAAAATGATAGGTTAATATCCCTGATAAACATAGATGCTAAAAACCTCAACAAATTACTAGCAGATTGGATCAAACAATACATTAGAAAGATCATAAACCACGATCAAGTGGTATTTATTCCAGGGATGCAAGGTTGGTACAATATCCACAAATCAATAAACGTGATACATCACATAAACAAAATGAATAAAAACCATACGATCATATCAATAGATGCAGAAAAAGCATTTAATAAAGTCCACCACCCGTGTATAATAAAAACTCTCAGGAAAGTGGGAAAAGAGGAAAAGTACCTCAACATAACAAAGTCCATACACAACAAATCCACAGCCAACATCATACTCAATAGGCAAAAACTATAAGTATTTCCCTTAAGATCAGGAACAAGACAGGAATGTCTGCTTTCACCAATTTTATTCAACATAGTAATGAATGATCTAGCCACAACAATCAGACCAGATAAATAAAAGGCATCAAAATTGGAAAAGAAGAGTAAACTGTCATTATTTGCAGATCACACGATTCTGTATAGAGAAACCCTAAAGACTCCATCAAAAAACTACTAGAACTGATAAATGAATTTAGTAAATTAGCAGGATACAAAATTAATATTCAGAAATCAGAGGTATTTTTGCAAAATGAACTATCATAAATAAAAACAAAACAAAACAAAAAATCCCATATACAGTTACAACAACAACAACAAAATAAGGTGACCATAAATAAATTTAGCCAGGTAAAAGACCTGTACTCAGAAAGTTATAGGATACTGAAGAAAGAAATTGAGGAAGATACAAACAAGTATAAGCATATATTGTGTTCATGGATAAGAATTCACATCATTAAAAGTCATACTACCCAAAGAAATCTATAGATTCAATGAAATTTCTATTAAAATACCAATGGAATATATCTCAGTTCCAGAACAAATATTCCAAAAATTTAAATGGAACCACAAAAGACTTCAAAATAGCCTCAGCAATCTTGAAAAAGAACAAAGTTGGAGGGATCACAATACCTGATATCAAACTATATACTACAAGGCCATAGTAATTAAAAAAGTTTGGTACTGGCACAAAAACAGGCATATAAATTAATGGAATAAAACAGAGGGTCCAGAACTAAACCCACACTTTTATAGTTAATATTTGACAAAGGAGGAAATCACACGCAATGTGGTAAAGACAGTCTCTTCAATAATGGTAGTGGGAAAATTGGACAGATACATGGAAAAAATGAAACTAGACCACCTTCTTACACCATACACAAGAATAAACTCAAAAAGGATTAAATACTTAAATGTAAGAAGAAAACCCATAAAAATCTGAGATGAAAACATAGGCAGTAAAATCTGACATTTCTTCATAGCAATATTTTTTCTGATATAGCTCCTCGAGCAAAGAAAAAATAAATAAATGGACTACATCAAACTAAAGTTTTTGCACAGCAAAAGAAACCATCAACAAAATAAAAAGACAATTCACTGAATAGAACATATTTGCCAATGATATACTTGATAAGGGGTTAATTTCCAAGATTTATAAAGAACATATACAACTCAACACCAAGAAAACAATCCAATTAAAAAATGGGCAAACCAGAATAGACACTTCTCCAAAGAGAACATACAGATGGGCAACAGACATATGAAAAGATGTTCAATGTCACTAATCATTAGAGAAATGCAAATTAAAACCACAGTGAGAAATCACTTCACACCTGTCAGAATGGCTGCCATCAATAAATCAAAAAACAAGGGTTGGTGAGGATTGGGAGAAAAGTGAACTCTTGTGCATTACTGGGGAAATGCATGTTAGTGAGCCACTGTGGAAAATAGTATGGATTTTCCTCAAAAAATTAAAAATGGAAATGCTTCATGACACAGCAATTTCACTTCTGGGAATAAACCCAAGAAACCCAAAACATGAATGCAAGTGAATGTAGGCAACCCTGTGTTTATTGTAGGGTTATTTACAATAGTCAAGACTGTAAATCAGTAGATGAGTGGGTAAAAAAAGCTGTGGTGCATTTATACAATGGAGTACTACTTGGCCATAAAAATGAAGGAAATCTTACCTTTGACAGCATGGATGGACCTGAAGAGTAATATGTAAGTGAAATAAGCCAGTCAGGGAAAGACAAATACCATATGATATTACTTATATGTGGAATCTAATTAACAAAATAGAAACAGAATCATAGATACAGAGAACAGACCTACAGCTGTCAGAAGAAATGGGGTTTGGGGATCTGGGTTAAAAAGTTGAAGGGATTAAAAAAAAAAAAAAAAAAAAACCCTCACAGACTCAGGCAACAGTATGGTGATTGCCAGAGTAAAAGGTGATGTGGGGAGAGTTGAAGAGGGAAAAATGAGATAAATGGTCATGGAAAGAAACTTAAGTTTGGGTGGTAAATGCACAACAGAGTACGCAGATAGTATGTTATAGAATTGTACACTTGGAACCTGTATGGCTTTATTAACCAATGTCACCACAATAAATTCAGTTTTAAAAAAGGAAAACAGTCCAGCTGGTGTAGCTCAGTAGATGAGCATCGACCCATGAACCAAGAAGTTGCCGGTTCAGTTACCGGGTCAGGACACATGCCCACGTTGTGGGCCCGATCCCCAGTGGGGGGCATGCAGGAGGCAGCCAACTGATGTTCTCTCTCATCGATGTTTCTATCTCTCTCTCCTTCTCACTTTCCCTCTCTCTAAAATCAATAAAGAAAAAAAATTTTAAAAATAAATAAATAAAGGAAAACATATTGACCATGACAAATTTGCAGTAGTAAATATAGAATTTTCCAAACAAACTAAACATTATTTTGAAAGGTTCTATAAAAGAGTAGTTTTATTTCCTTTGTTTTATAGGTGGCCATGTAAATATTAGTGTGTTTCCACCATCCTGATGTTGCAAGCATTTTACATTTATCCACAGCAGTAAGAAAATTGTTGAAGTCATTCCATGTAAATGTAGCTCAAGATAACAGCATGAAAAAGACCAGAGACTTTTCAAATTTATTTAGTAATGACCTATTCACACCCAGGAAGACATCTTACATCAATTAACCTGAGAGGACGCATTATATATGGCCTGTTGAGAACTAGTATCAATTTATTTTACTTAATTTGAAAAAAAGAACACAAAACAGTGTTGATGTTCTGCAACTATTCTTTTAAAATTTGCTCCAAGAAAAGCTAAACTACCTGAGAAGAACACTAGAATCCTGTAACCAAAGTCCTAGTGGTTGTCTCTTCTTGAACATATATTTATCTGAGGAGTTCATGATGAAGTGAGCTGACGTTTTAATGGAAATGTTATTTACCTTGGAGTCCATAAACTTGGATGGGAAAGTGTTACATCTTCATTTTTACTAACCTCTGATACTTAACATTTCCTACAATTATGATTGTAAGTAAAAACCACACACTGTGACTGATACTTCTGTATTACATTAGACTTGATGTAGTTATCTAGATCTTTTATTGTCATCACCACTGGAAAAGACCCCTCCCCAATAGATATTTAATGCATGATCAAAGAAGTATATATCATAGCACCACAAATTGTAATAGTTGTGACATTTTTATTAGTATTTAAAAAGAAGCCAATTAGATCATTTTAAATGTGTAAAATAACATACAAGTTAGAAGAATTTAGAGAAGTTCCCCCAGACTGCCGAAGAAGTAAATGGCAAAAAGATTTAGAACCTGTTTTAGAGGGAAAGAAACAATATACTGGGTTCTGTGTGTTTCATTTCATTTCTTCTCTCCACGACCAGGTTTTTTTCAGTCTCTGTCTTTTACTCTTGTCACTCTAATGACCATTTGCTGGCACCAGGCCACTGTAGATAACTCTATTATATTTTTTAATGCAATGCATTTTAAATAGGCAGATTCAACCTCTTCCCTATTCTGCACTGCACAGATTAATGACCATCGACATACTATGGAAACCCCACTCTTCCTTTCAAAGCTTTTCTTTGTATGTATATTCATTCTTTTCCTTCTATCATCCTAATTCAAGGAACAAATTTAAGTAAGTGCAGGGGGTTATTCCTCAACGGATGGTCAGGAATGGATGTGTGTGAGTAAAACCACACTTCAGCTGGAGCAGAGGCCACAGGGCCACTCCCAACTCTCTCACCCAGCCTCTGTCTGACACTTTCATCAAGAGTCCCTCAGCTTTCCCAGGAGAGTTCATTTTGCCCAGCAGGTAAACATGCTGTTCTTCCCAACCCCTCACTGCAGGAAGGAGTGGCCTCCGGCTTGGGTTCACCTAGGTGTTAATCCCTCCAGTGACCCTCTCTGATCTCTTGGGTCACCAACCACTAACTCAGAAAAGCCCATTGCATGGCTACCTGAACGGAGCCCTTAAACTGGATCCCAAGAAAATGTCACAGGACCCGAGGGCGCTTACCAGGCCTCCACAGAGGCTGAAGACAGCGATGTGATCCTCCCGAGCATTGACCTGGCCCCGGTAGAAGCAGTGGCGCAAGTCTGGGGACACCGCGCTGCGTTCCTCCGCCCCGCGCTCGGGGGCTCCCAAGTGCACCTCGGTGTAGCCCTCGGCCAGAAAGCCCGCGTCGGCGCTCAGGTTCAGCTGGAATAGCTGCCCATAGGCGCTGATTCGGTAGTGGGTCCTGAACGGCGTGGGCTCCGGCGCCTCTGAGCTGCGCTTCCTCCGACTGAAGTGATGGCTCTGAGGGAACACTTCGCCGAACTCATTGACCCGCGCGGGGGTCACCACTTCGTACGAGGCCAGTGTCCTCACCAGCGCTTCTGCAACCACAGCGATATGGCCATTGAGCACCCCCCCCCACCACCACCACACACGTGTTTCCAAATCCCAACCCCAAACTTCTTCGACCATACGTCCCCGCCAAAGATCCTTGGTTCCAGGTCCCGAATCACCATGGGGCGCGACAAATGCACACAGGATGGCGAGCGCGCGCGCGCACACACACACACACACACACACACACACACACACACGTGCGCTCTGTGAGTGTGAGTGCTCTGTTTTCCCACACCCCCCGACTTGCTCCACCCTCCCCAGGCAAAGACCCTGACACTTACGGCCCTGAGCAGCCCACCTCCTTTCCCCAACTCTCTTCGCTTGCCCGCCACCGCCAACTCGTGTCCTACGGGTGCACGCGCCCCCCTGCCCCACGCGCCCCCACCGCGTGGTCCCGGGAGGGAGTCCTGTCCCCCCCGCACACGATTCCTCGAAACCCGACACAGCGGCAACCTCTCGGGATGCTTAAGAGGCTGACTAATCCGGCAGTCTCTGGAGCCCCTGCAGAGCCAGGGTTCCCCAACGGGCTAAACCACTCACTCCCCCGACTCGGTCCGGCTGTCCCGCTCGGGCCCCAAGCCCCCACCGCGCTGCTGAAGGCGCCGCGAGGCGACCTTACCTTGCCTGGGGTGGAAGTGAACTTCCCACGACCTGGTGATGAAGAGTGAGAGCTGGTAGAGCAGCCCCGTCAGCCACTTGGCCACCCGCATGGTTCCACCCGGGAGATCCCAACCCCGGAGGCCAACCCCAGCCAGCCGCCTCCCAGCCAGCCGGCTTCCCCCGCGCTCCGCTGCTTCTCCTCCCTCTCGCCCGCCGCTCTCCGCGCTGGCCGCCTCGGCGCCTCAGCAGCCTCCGGAGCAGCAGCCCCAGCCCCGGGCCGGCCCGTCTCGCCACACCGCCAGCCTCCGCTCCCTGAGCCGCTGCTTCATCGCACTGCAGCCCCGCAGTCCCCTCCTTGCTCTCGGCAGCCTCACTCCGCTTCCTGCGCCAGCACCGCCCTCAGAAGCTCTCTGCTTAGGTCCAGCTCTGCGCGAGGAAGCGACTCGACCCAGCAGGAACGGTGACAATATAGCCACCCCGAGCCCGGCCAGCGCGGGGGAGAGCCCGCCCCCAGGGGCCGGGCCCGACCAATCAGCGGGAGGCGCGGTCCCGGCTCGCCCACGGGCGCGCAGCCCACCCCCACCCCTCCGCTGCACGCGGAGTGCGGTCCCTGCGGGCTCCCGCTGTGGGCGTGCAACGTGGTGAGTAGCCCGAGGCCCAGCTGGACACCAGCCCGGTACCTGTAAAACCCCAAACTGATACAAGCTGTGAGGCCGAGGTCGATAGATAAGTGTGTAAGGTTTTTAGTTCTTATAATGAATTAACAAGCATCAAATGGAATGTTTCTGTTATTTATGTTTCACGGCTTCTCAAGCAAGATAAAATAAGCTCCGGCGGGAAGTTCTTGTAGGCAGAGGATGCTACCAATAAAGCTTAATAGCCAGGCCCCTTTTGCAGTGGCCCCTGTGTGTCCTGGAAGTTTGAGTGCTGAAGGGGAAGCTGAAGGTTGCAATCAGCAAACGCTTCTGGGTGGGAATTTCTGAAAGTTGTCGAAAGAAATTTGAGAAAAAAGAGGGATCTCAGTCTCCAAAGTCCCAGATAACTTATTGTGATTTTGTCCTTTTAACTTCATTATTTGTACTTAATGGGTACACAAAGGGACCCAAAATTATATAAATGTCAAGCCCCACAAAACTTGCATCTGCCCCTGCCTGTGAGTCAATGTTTTTATGAGATTTTCTGCTGATAGTTATACTTTTTAAAAAACTGAAGGTTTCTTCATTTATAATATCCAAATGACTCCCACGTATCTATAATTACCTTCCTAAAAAATTAGTGTAGCCCTAAATCCAGTTGTGTCACTTGGTGTCTGTGAAATCATCATTTCAGAACTACTTTCTCATTTCTCAGAGAAGCCCGTTTGATTTGCAGGTTCTGTGATTACTTCTCTCTATAACCAGTATGAAAGCAACAAGGAAAGCAGCAGTCAGATTGTCTTGCAATCCAACCGAGAGAGAGAAAGAAAACAAAGGAATATATGGTTTAATCTCAATTTAGTCCCTGGCTATCCCTCCTCCTCTGATCTCTCAACAATGAAATTTCTGTTTGCTTCTAAATGAACTCTTGTGTCATACCTCTTTACTTTTACATCATATACTTGGTCCATCTGTTATTCACCACAAATGTGGAGAAATCTCATTCAGGGAAGGAGAGTTTCACCTTACTTTTGCCAAGGAAATTACCCAGGTTGGATGGTAATTCTTCCACAATCAATCCCCTTCTTTTGTATACCTTCCTCACAAGTGCCATTTCATTTGTCACAGAATTACAGGCTTCTGGTGGTGTTTTTCTAAGTTAGGCATACTGTTACTCTAAACAAACAAACAAACAAAGCGGACTTCATCCACACCTGTCTATTTAGTGATTACCTTCAGTACATTATAATTCAGAGTCATTTTAATTACATTGCAGCTCTGAATGCATCTTTATATTAGGAGCCATGCCTCCCCCCTAGAAATATCAGAAAATAGAACTGCACCTGTTTAATTGGCTATCTGACTGCTGGCTGAAGGCAAAATAGGTATTTAATTTCCATCACTGAATGTCACTCAAAGTAGTATTTGTAATGGAGTATTTGATTTTCAACCTGCTCTATTTGAAAACACTGTTCTAAGAATAGGGGTGGGGAGAAATGGGAAAATGCATGGGATATGTATTCTATGTCATTACAATCTTTACAATATTCAGTAAAGAGCATTATTTCCCTCACTTAATAGAAGATGTGTTACATTTTCACATAGCATCTAAACTACTAAAGTGGAGTTCCATAAATCCTTTCCAACTCCAATGTCTTTTCATTATACTAGACTATAACTGTTAGGATATTCACATTGTTTGTCTCTCTTCCTTTCTTCTCCCCAACTGATGAAAATGTCATCAATAAGCTAATCTATGCCATTTAAATCAAGCAATTTTCTCACACAATCATTATAGCTACCACTTATGAGATATCAACAGACTAAGCACTATATATGGGACTTCAGAAAGGTTAACCCATTTAATTTTCACAATCTTTCCACAGTACTAAGAGAAGTTAAATAATTCACTCAGATCACATATCCAGTTAGACTCAAATCTCTTTGGTTTTATTTTTTTTAAAACAATTTAATTTATTAATTAATTAATTTTTTTTCTTTATTGATTTCGAAGAGAGGAGAGAGAAATAGAAACATGGATGAGAGAGAACATCAATTGGCCGCCTCCTGTATGCCCCCCACTGGGGATTTGGCCCCAAACCTGGGAATGTGCCCTGACCGGAATCGAACCGGCAACCTCTTGGTGCATGGGTCCATGCTCAACCACTGAGCCACACCAGCGGGGCAATCTCTTTGGTTTTAATAGCTATACTTTTTTCAATCTTGCAAAGCAGGAACATGCTTACTACGGACACTATACACAGGATAGATCTTGTTTTGTAATTCTGATTCTACCATAACCACCTGTGTAACATTCAACAATTTACCTAAACTCTATAAGCTTATATTTTACCAATTGTAAATAGAGGTAATAATCATAATCTCATGCAATTGTTAAGGTGATTAAAAAGAATTATATAGGTAACATATTGAAATGAAATGAAAAAATATGTACTCGATTCATATTTATTCATGAATTTATTTATTCATTATAAGTATTATTACTTTATAATAGGGAACTGAATGTTTATATCAAAAGGAACAACTATTTGAATACAGACTACTTTTCTAATATTAGTAGGTAGGAGAAAGAATGATCCACTGTTTACCTGAGACTAGGGAGTTTCCTGAGATGCTACACTTGCAGTGTTAAAACTTGGAAAGTCCTGGGCAATCTGGGATGAATTGGTCACTCAAGTTCAGGGTGTCTCATTCAAGGCTCTATATTGACTTACTGAACTAGATGATTTGTTGTTATAGGGGGCTGCCCTATAACATTGTAAAATGTTAAGCAGCATTTCTGGCCTCTACTCACTTGATGCAAGTAGTACCCCACCCCTGTTGTGACAATCCAAAGCATTTCCACATTTTCAAATGTCCCCTGGGGAAAAATTGGCCCAAGTTGAGACCCATTGACCTAATACGGGGAGACAATTGGGAAATGGGAAATGCACAGAATTGAATTTGGCAGGAGACCTCATAGATGCTGCTTCATTCTTGATTACAAAGTCCATTTGTTTAGTAAAAACTCTTTATGTATTGTGTAGGGAATTCTTCATCATTATAATTAAAATAGCACAACTGGTGGTCATTGTGTTAATAATTTTTAAAGCATTTTTGTTTCTAGATATTCAGGGAAGAATCAAATTCCCCTACCCGAGCACTTATTACACTCTATTCTAACTTTTTATTTACTTATCTGCATTCAACACCAAATTATAAATATCATGTGAGGAGGAACTATAGCTAGCCTGTTTGAGGCAGTATCGCGAGCACCAAATGCTATGTCTCCACTGAACAAAAATAAATTAAATATTCATTGGATAAATAAGTACTAATATTGAAATTTATATAACCAAGAGAATTAGGCAAATTACCAGCCTATTTTACCATCTCTGTCTTTTAATTAGGATATCTGTACCATTGATATTTAATATAATAATGTATTTACATTCAAGTCTATTACCTTGTTATTTGTTTTATATTTTTCCTGTTTGTTCTATTTGTTCCTTTTTTCTTTTTTCTGCCTTCTTTTGGATTAACTGAATGTATTTTATCATTCCATTTAATCCCCTTTGGTAATTTTAATGCCTTCTTTTGTCATTTAGATAGTTACCCTAGAATTTATAGTATAATTCTTTAATTTATCTTTCTATCTTCATGTAGTAGTGTGCGAGTTCATTTTCCTTCCTTCTAACTTTGTCACCATACTTTTAACTTGTGCTGTTGTCACCATGCTTTTAACTTGTACTGTTGTCACCATGCTTTTAACTTGCATATGTTATAACTCCCATATTGCATTGGGCTATTTTCATTTAAATAATTATTTTAATCTTGCATCATTTTCCTTTTGTTTTTAAGGCTTCCTTTAACATTTCTTATAATATAAGATAATGAGTTTCAACTTTTGTATGTTTTTATTTGACCTTTATTTAAAAAAAATTTTTTTTTCTGGGTATAGATTTTTAGGTTGAGGATTTTTTTTTTTTTTTCTTTTTCTTTTAGTACTTGAAAGATTATGATCTACTCTCCTCTTGCTTGATTTTTTTTCTAACAAAAAAATCTGTCATTCTTATCTTTTGTACATAGGGTATTTCTTTTTGTAACTGTTTTAAGATTTTTCTCTTCATAATTAGTTTTGTGAATTTTTTTTATGGTGGGCCTTGATGTGATTTTGCCCATGTTTCTTGTGTATGGAGTTCATTGAGTTTTGGGGACTATGAGTTTATTACTTTTATCAAATTTGAAAAATTGGGGCCATTATTTTTTTTAATACATTTTTGTTCCCCTCTCTTCTCTCCTTTAAGGACTCCAATTGTATACTTATGAGGCTGCATGAAATTGTCCTGAAACTGTTTTTAAATTTTTTGTTCCTTTCTGTGTTTTATTTTGGATAATTTTTATTGTTTTCTTTAAATTCACTAATCTTTTCTTCTGCCATGTCTAATTTGCACTTAATCCTATTCAATATAGCT